TTCGCACCTGGTGCCCCCTGGACTGTTTACCCCGTGCACCTTTTGCTTGTGCTGATTTTGCTTTGTATCGTTTTGTATAAATCATCATTGTGAGTAAAACTCTGTGCTAGATACTGGGTCTTCCTATTGAATCATTGAACCTAAGGGTGTGTTGGGAACTGACAGTAACTTAATGGTGGTGACGCAGAGTTCGTTTGAGAGCTGTGTGCTGTTGGTAGTCATTTGTGAATGACAAGGCTCAGCATTGGGGCATTGCGGAAGAGATCTCATGGTAGTTCATAAACATTTTTCTCAGTATGACGGTTAGGATACTTTCTTCAAGCCATCCTGAGAATGGTCATGGGCCTTCTACCTGTCATTAAATTTAAAGGTGAAATCTTTAGTTTTGTTGAACTTCGTTTTGTTTTTAAAGAAAGGTGCTCTAAATCTCTGATGATTAGTAACGTGGGCAGTTTATGATAGATGTTGAATTTAATTGAGGAGGCCTCAAACAGCACTTAAAGACTCTATTCTTCCCTAATCCTGTCCCTGTTCTGCCTGCCTGCAGTATCTACTCCCCACATACCCCATTCTGAACCATGTAAGAGCTATTATTGTATATGTCCAAACATTGACATCTACCTAGTTCTTTTTTGCAAAGTATGAAGAAATTTATTCTTCAAGTGTTTGTGTATTGCTAAGTACTATTATTAACTCTTAGGAAAATTGATGTGTAGATGGAATGAAATTTAATACTAATAATTTTCACTATTATATGACAGAGTCTGAATCTAAACTCAAATTTATGTGTAACAACAGCCTTAAAGAAAATTAAAAAGCAAAGTATGCATATGCTAAATGAATTGATCATGCTGTCTGAAAAATATTAAAGAATATTCTACATCTTTGACACCATAAATCTCCTTGTCTACCTTTCACATAACGCAATTAGTTTTATTTTCATTACTAGTTTTTTTTTTTTGGACAGGATGTCACTCTGTCACTCAGGCTGGAGTGCAGTGGCACAATCATGGCTCACTGCAGCCTCAACCTCTGGGCTGAAGGGATCCTGCCACCTCAGCCTCTTAAGTAGCTGACACCAAAGGCACAAGCCACCATGCCTGGCTGATATTTTTTTTTTTTTTTTTTTTTTTTTTGTAGAGACAGGGTTTCACCATGTTGACCAGGCTGGTCTCAAACTCCTCGGTTCAAGTGATCCACCTGCCTTGACCTCCCAAAGTACTGGGATTACAGGCGTGAGCCACTGCACGCCTTACTCCATCCATAGTGAGTTTTAAATTAATTTTTTCATTTTTTTTTGGAAGATGCCTCCATACCAATTCCATATCAGTGGCTGCAGCTGGCTGCCACTTAAACACTCAGGGTAGATTCTACTGTTACTTTAATTTTAGGATGCTCCAAGCCATGGTTCATAGTTTCAGGCAGCCACAAGTTCATGAGACTACAAAACAAGATGGAGAAATCATTGTTGCTAAATCTGTATCCAATAGGCAAAGATCAGGAAGAACTGTGCAGAAAACTCAGGTCAAACACCCACTCTCATAGCATCTATTGGCTTTCAATTTGGACTGCCATGAGCTAACTGACAAATCCCTCTATTTCTGAAGCTGAAGAAGTTCTTTTTAAATATAGAGTACTTATATAAGAAAATACTAAAAGTGTACCTATTTACATATATTGAAAGCATAACTATTTGCATAGTCTGTGACAAAATCTATATTGTATATTTAGCAGATAACATGATTTAAGATATAACGGTTAATTAGCAGCAAGAGGAAAATTTGTCTCTGGAAAAACAATCAGATTCAAGCATCTGATAGCTCTCTGAGTCCAAGAGGATAGCAAGGATGTATAGGGAAACTCCCCAGAGTTACTTGGATTTGGTAGCAGTTCAAATCTAGATTAGCTGTCAACATACAGAATGTCTTCCCGCCTATGAGACAACTTAGGGATTCCTCAGCAGTTCTCAAAAAATGTGTGTTCGAACAACCTTTTCTTTAAAGCAGGAGACGAGACCAGCACTGGTCCAGGAACGTGTCTTACTGCTCTGCAACTAGATTACTGTAGAAACTGGAAAGATTTACACACCTTACAGCAATTTCCTATAGCCATGGCATCCAAATAGGTGACCATTTGTCTCATAATTCCTCATTATGGTGTTTTACAAAAGCATTGGTCTGTGAGAGTTTGGAGATTTTCTCTAACTGGCCTTTCACCTAAAGGGAATGCTTGTTAAAAATTCAGATTCCTGGACCCCAGCACAAACCAATGGAACCTGAATTTCTGGAAATGAAGACAAGTCCCAGGAACCTGCATTGGATCAAGCTGCCTGTGTCGTTCTTTTCTATGCTGAACTTTGAGGACTACTGCTTCATGGGGAGGACCAACTGCATGGCTAACATACTCCCCTAAGTATAAGATTGGCTTTTGAAAACCATCCAGTTTAAAAGCCAGAGTTGCAAAGGTCACAACTCCAACACAATTGACTCCAGTCCTTATGGATGCCATTGTGTTATTAGCTCATAGAAATGCCCAGGTAGCAAAGAATTGTGGTTTCTGGGTACAGTGCCACTGCTAGGTTATACAGTGACTTTGTGCAAAAGACACCCTTGGAGCCACCTCCCTGCCATGTGCGAGGAAAGTGTTGTAATAAATATATTGATTAATGATGCCCGTGATGAAGTCCACCTCCTTCAATGTGGTTCCTTGTGCGGAGCTGGCAGAGCAGATGTCACACCCAGGTGAGAGGGAGCCCCCATTGCTGGGCAATGCACAGCAACTTGGTCTGTAGCCCCTGATTAGAAAGCATGAAGCTGTCCTCAGCTCCACAGACACAGGCTCTGGGAAAACTTCAGCCACCAGAGAACATTCACACCAGAGCGTTTCTTGTTTGTTTAGGTTTGTCTGTGGGTTGTTTTGTTTTGTTTTGAGACAGAGTCACACTCTGTCACCCAGGCTGGAGTGCAGTGGTGCAGTCTTGGCTCACTGCATCCTCCACCTCCCAGGCTCGAGTGATTCTCCTGCCTCAGCCTCTCAAGTAGCTAAGAATACAAGCGCATGCCACCATGCCCAGCTAGTTTTTTGTATTTTTAGTAGAGATGGGATTTCACCACGTCGGCAAGTGACTGGAAATAAAAGAATTTAATTCTCCATGGGCAGATGTCATTCACCATGTGAATTCCTTGTATATGATTTTATGCAGGGGAGAAAAAATGTTTGAGAGCAGTCATTACTAATCAGGAGGCAAACTTTTGACCACCTGCATTCATGTTTCTCCACGGGTGCAGACACTCCGAGCATCTGGGGGGTGCTGCTTCCTTGTTCTCAATTGGTGCCACCTGAATGCCTGAATCACATGCTTTGGGCTAACCTAAGGGAGTGGCAGCGGCCAGGCAGCCGTGGAAGAAGGAAGGAAAGTGGTAGAAGGACCTGGGAGAAAAACAAGAGGAATTGATCCAGTAACCTGAGGTTCTGACCATCGCTCTTGAGAGCAACTTGACTGCATAGAATTTGAACTGCATAATCCCCTTCTCTTTGTTAAGAGTGTGTTTTACTCTCAACTATGATACCGTATCATGACTCTGACATCTTCGATGCAAGCTATCCTTGCTGTCTCTGGAGCAGTATCCCTTCTCCTGTTTCCTTCTACCAGGCAGCCCCTTGAGCTTCACACTTCTCCACCTTTGGGCAGCCTTTCTGGATCCCCTCAGCAAAATTAGGCCCCTTCTCTCTTCTCTCCCAGTGTCCCTTATACAGGACTCCTGTGATATGAGATTTTTGTGTTGCACACATGGTTGATTAATTAGGGAATATTACTGTCATCTTCAGATAAATATTGGCTATATAACAAGAATAACTGCTGCTTTATGTTTTTTATAACAAGGGATATCCCTTTCAGAAAACAGATAAGCATGTTTTTTTTTAACTTTCAAGTTAATAGTGGCACTGATGGTGTTGAGAAAAGAAAGCCATTAGTCTAGATGAAGAATAAAATGTACTCAGGCTGGGCGCGGTGGCTCGCGCCTGTAATCCCAGCACTTTGAGAGGCCGAGGTGGGCGGATCACAAGGTCAGGAGATCGACACCATCCTGGCTAAAACGGTGAAACCCCGTCTCTACTAAAAATACAAAAAATTAGCCAGGCGTGGTGGTGGGCACCTGTAGTCCTAGCTACTCAGGAGGCTGAGGGAAGAGAATGGCGTGAATCTGGGAGGTGGAGCTTGCAGTGAGCGGAGATCGCGCCACTGCACTCCAGCCTGGGTGACACAGTGAGACTCTGTCTCAAAAAAAAGAAAAAAAAGAATAAAATGTACTCAGTGATGATTAGCTGTTATAGCTGTTTATTTGAAACATGAAAAAATTAAACCTTTAACAGTGATAGTGCAGTGAGAAAAATAATTTTGTTAATATGAATCTTAAACTCTGTGTCCCTCTAACTCCATTTCTTTCCATTCAGAGAACTATCGTATTTTATAAGAGCTGGTCCATTGTACAGTTTTATGTTACAACTTTTCGAACAACTGTATTATAGTCAATTTATAATCAAGCAACTATTTTATAATTTAGTTTTTATGGCATTTGTTTCTTTGCAATGTAACAGTCCCACCATTGCAAACCAGATGGGACATGTGTGTAGAACGTGATATAGGAGACTCTGATTTGGGGGTTGCAAATCTGTTCTTCACTAGAGTGTGGTTCCCTTAAGTTCACTGACTTCTTTTCATCTCTCCTTACCAGGCCCACAGTGATAAATTGAATGAGTGAATAGATATATATATATATAGTATTACCTTTTAATATGCATCCATACTCCATGAACTGCATACACACCACTTAATGGAAGTTATAACATTGCAAATGTAACAATAACAAAAAAGTGAATGCAAAGCAAGTGTCTCTTGCCACAGTCATACCCCATCACAACCACCCCTCCGCCAAAAAAAAATCATTCCTCTCATGTGGAGTTGTTCATTAGGTTCTAATTTTTCGTTTTCATGTCAGGAATCCTCATCATGATGTCCATGTGCAGAGAGGTGCACGTGTACGAATACATCCCGTCCGTGCGGCAGACGGAGCTATGCCACTACCACGAGCTGTACTACGACGCAGCCTGCACCCTTGGGGCGTACCACCCGCTGCTCTATGAGAAGCTTCTGGTGCAGCGCCTGAACACAGGCACGCAGGGGGATTTGCAACGCAAGGGCAAGGTGGTTCTGCCTGGCTTCCAGACGGTGCACTGCCCTGCACCGAGTCCAGTCATTCCACACTCTTAAAAAGGGTTTCTTGGGAATCAATGTGCAATAAGGTACTACTGTTGTACTCAAAGTCACAAAAGAATACTTGAAGATAGATTCTAGACAATGTAGTTTTGAGTCTTTAAACTGTAATTTAGTGGTGGTCATGAGAATTCTTCACTTTCTAAGCCATTGAGTATTTATTACTGCTTTGAATATAGAAACGGATTTTTTAAAAAGTAGGGCACAAGAAAGATGCAAAACGAAGGATAGCTAGAAAGAAAACATGTGTATGACCATGGGTATGGCACCTCCAGAAATGTTAACAACTTACTCTTCTGCCATGAGTACCCCTCATCAGGGTTGGTTTCAGTAATAGGTTTTGGTGATGCTCCTGACCACAGGAAGTGGTTTATATTTAGAAACATCCAAGTTGAGGGACATCATTTACAGCATCAAGTGCATCACTGATACATGCCTTCATCATTAAATATCCTAGGTTTTATGACAAACATTGAAATTATCACTCAGATGTGTTTTACAGCAAAACTTCACAGCACATCCTGGCAAATGCTTGTGTTTCCAGCCGTTGCATTCTTCATCTGTGCTTCCCATTGCCCACTGAATGCTTTGCTTTCTGTGCGTCAAGACGAAGCTCTAGAACCAGAAAACATACACCTTGAAAGGTCCAAGAAAAAGCCAAATTCCATATAGCAGCACAGAGGAGGCCCTTTGTTTCCCTGCAGAATTTCAACCAGGAGCATTAGTATCACATCCACCAGGAGGCACATCACTGGCAAGTAACACAGAATCACGGGGCTGCAGGTGCCCCTGGACACTCCCCGGTTCCGGCTGTTCTGCCTTGTACCTCCTCACCTGCAGATCTACCCCACAGCTTTTGCGTAGTCAGTGACACACCTGACAATTGGCACAGCCATGCTGGGGAAGACAAGAAACATCTCGCTCCTTCCAAACTAGAAGGAAAGATTTCGGAGCCGTCACTCTGTGCTTCTAGGGATGCACGCCTGTCTTTATTGTATGAGTTTCTGGCAGGTTTCATCAACCAGGGGGAGCTCAAGAGTGATGAGCACTGAATCTTCACTAAATCTTCCTACAGACATTTAGGAATCCAATCCTTGCTTTCGCAGATATGTTTTATGTCAGCAGCATGACAAAGCCATATAATTAAATCATTTATGCGAAAGCATTGCTTATTAACAAGGAAAATATCTAGATGCTTCAGAGGGAAACGCACCTAGAGGGAAATTTTCATCCCAATATGTTAGCTATATTCAGGGTTGATTTTTTTTTTTAATCTCAACTGTCACTGATACACTAACATTTTTTGCCGAGAATATAGTGAAACAGAAACATTTTGTAATACTTCAATTAAACATGCTATTATTTCAATGTATAACCAAAACGTATCTCCATGGTACAGTTAAGACTTGTTGCAGTGACAATAGCAGCTTAATTAAAGGCGTTCTCCCTTGCAAAGTGTATGAATGTCAGGAGAGTTTAGTGGAAAAGTTTTACTTGTTTCAGGATTGGTTTCTAGACTGTTCTCAGGACTATTTTCTTGAGCAAGAACGGCTTACAGAGACTGGCGGCTTCTGTTTGGTTAGTCTACTCAGCAGATATGGAGCTGAACAACAAGACATCTCCTATAGCTTATTATAATAGTGAAGGAAAAATTGGAAAGTCTTAATCACAACAATATCCAATAAAAGCCCATTTTGAGAGTTTTGTTATTAAGTCTATGAGAAGGGATAGATAACTTTGTCCTATGTATTAACTTATGTCTAAATAGACATGGTTAAGCCATGTTCCTTTCTAATTTCTTTTTCTTTTCTTTTTTTTTTTTTTGAAACGGAGTCTCGTTGTGTCACCCAGGCTGGAGTGCAGTGGTGCCATCTCGGCTCACTGCCAGCTCCACCTCCTGGGTTCACACCATTCTTCTGCCTCAGCCTCCCAAGTAGCTGGGACTACAGGTGCCCACCACCATGCCCGGCTACTTTTTTGTATTTTTAGTAGAGACAGGGTTTCACCGTGTTAGCCACGATGGTCTCGATCTCCTGACCTTGTGATCTGCCTGCCTTGGCCTCCCAAAGTGCTGGGATTACAGGCGTGAGCCACCCGTGCCCGGCCGTTCCTTTCTAATTTCTTGAAAGAACTTGGTCTCGTCCTTATGTTTACATGTGTGTAATCAGTTCAGCAACTCTGGAATGTGGGTGAGGTGGCTCTGGTGGGTGAATATTACTCCCTACAATCCTTGGCTTTTTCTAGATCTTCCCGGCCATTAAATGCCCCTGACTATTGAAGCTCCTTTTATAGTTTTGCGAGTGGATTTACTTGTAGGCATCCTCACTATCCAGCACAGTCCCCCTTGGCTGACATGAGAACTTGGTTAGGGGAGAATTTATGGGGGTCAGTGTAAGTATTCAAGTTCAAAAGCCTCAGAACCCCACACTTAAAAGATTTTTAAATAGAATTTTGTTGTAATCATTGTACTTTTAAAATAGTACTTTCAGTTTCACTGAGGTTACAGGAAAGACTGAAGAGTACGACGGAAATTTAATTACAATTTTTGCTTTTATTATAGCCTTAAAGACTCTTGGGAATCAGGGTCTGTTCAACAGTCAGTAAATGTAATACACATATTAATATAGTATTGACTGGGCATTCTTCTATAAAAGTTTAAGTTATTTAACTTCTAAAAAATGTTAGGCAGTTACAGTTAACGTGATGACTACTTCTAGTATTAGCCAAATGGGTCCTAAGTGGCAGTATTTTGCCAGACATTGACTAAATCTTTACATGCCTAAATCCTTACATTTACTGAATTCCAGTAAACACATAGTTCTTCTGTGGAGTAGTTAACAATAAGTGGCAGGTCACTGAATTTCTCCCAGGTTCTGTCTCTTCCAAAATCCTCCATCCTCTCTTATGAAGGGAAGCTGGTAAAAAATCCTCTTGGTGCAAGCCAAAGCTGTTAAGGATTCCTTTCTGCACTCTCAGGACCAACAAACATTCTTTTGTATTTCAAGATAATTTCACCCATTGTTGTTGTTGTTATCACAAAGAAACAAATTTTGACCAGCAATGACAATTCAACCACATCTAGACTCTCCCTAACTTATTTCTCCAGCGGGTCACACCAAGCAGGCGGGTAACCTTTAACAGACCTGGTGTTCTCATGGAATACCAATGCTCGTCCCAGGGAGCTGACCTTTCCCACTACGTCCTTATAGAGCTGCTCCTACAGAGAACTTTGTGCTCAGGACCAAGGGATGGTCAATTAAAAGTTGCATGTCAGCATCAGGCTTGTGCATTAAAATGGGCAAGGGGGGCTTTTATACATCTTTGAATGACCAGGTATTTCCTTGTCTGCCTGAAGGCAGAGCTTTGAGGAACAGCACTTCCCATGTGTCTGGTCCTCTTGGTCTCTCAGCTGGACACTTAATCAACCCTGGACTCTCCAGTAGTCCTCGGTCATTGTAGCCATAGCATCTGCACAAAAAGAAGTGCTAAAATAATCATTAGCATTTTCAAAATTAGGAAATCAAAGTAGCTGGGTCACTCTCTTACATGTATATGAGCCAGGTCATTCTGCTGGGACGGATCATACTCATGCTGCTGATTGACTCTTCTAAGCAGTAACACATCTCCTGCATTAATTAGGTAGATCCCGTTTGGGTGCATTAAGTGGGATCAGTCTTAGATGAGTGCCAGTATATGATAGAAGAATTTCATACAAACAAATGCCATGATTCAAGTTCTCTCTCCAATTTTTCTTATCGATCAACATGCAGTACATGTGGTCAGTTACCTGGTTGAATTTCTGCTTAGCTGTGGTAAGAGACAGAGAAAGGGAGTGAGGTGGGATCAGGGGAATTATCAGAGAGACATGAGTGAACCTATTGGCCAGGTAGCTTCCAAGTCTGTTCTATTGTATTGTCTGTTTCGATTTCTGACTTTCTGATAGTTTAGAACTCTTACCCAGTGGTTACGTGACTGATCAAGGCAACTCTATCTGGAAATTAATTGTTTAGGTAAAATGTTCCTGAGTTTCAACTTGTCTTTTATACTCTGGATATCCTCATTGTGAGATTATTATGCATGTTTGTGTCACATGGGCATTATTTACACACTTGATAAATGAAAGGTATTTCTCTGTCGGTTCAAGGAAATAAAATGTAAGTTCTTGTTTTATTAAATGAATGAAGCCTTTTGGTTAAAAAAAAAGTAATCTAACATGTTTCTGTTCAAACTTGAGCTGATGAAATTTAAAGAAGTAAAGACAATGATCTAGTTCTTAGTATAAAAAGCATACATGTAGTAGATATAGTTATATAAGTGTGTATATACATATCTACAAACATGGTTGGTTTCATATTGCTTTTTCATCAATGTTTTTGACTGAAACCTTTACTATAAATTTTATTTTAATTATGTAACCACTAATATTTTAAAAGAAGGAAACAAATGTTATATGTCCTTCTGTTAAAAAAAAAAAATTCAGTCCTCTGCCAACCGCTTCCCACACACTCATACTCTGCACATCTTGGATACGTTAAAATGGTCTGACAGAATTATTTAAAAGGCACTATGTAGGTAGAACACTACCTTAATATTGTATCCTAGTCAGAAGCCTGATTTAACACTGAACTTTGAAGGGAAGCTTAGCTATAGCTCATGGCTTTCAAAGACTAGAAGAAACTTTTACTGGTTCTATGGAAAATAGTCTTCTTGCAAGGTAGATTTGAAACAAAGAAATTGCACTGGGAGTGGTAAAATCTAACATTTATAACAAATCCTGTTTTACTCTAGATGAAATACTTAGTTCTTCCAGTGGAAACCAGTGAACTTTTTTAACAGCTTTGGGAATTCTTTTGTATAATAATTTTTAAAATGAAATGTGTACTCTTCAAACTAATTAAGGCTTGAAGTTTTCCAGGAGTCGCATTTTAAAAGTGTTTGTACACATTTTAACACTTTGATATTTTCTATTTTGGTTTTGTATATTTTTATGTATACACAATGTACAGACTTTTTTCTTGTAAATAAAACATGTTTTCATTTGTCTAGAAGTTTCTTGTTTTAATTCATAGAAGTTACACATACAAATGCGGAAGTGGCAAAGTAACAATCCATCCCTAGGAAAACAAATGGCAAAGCTGAAATCTAATTAGAAGACTGAGTGGCAACAGAAGGAACAGCAGCAGGCCTTCAGCCATGAATATGGACGCAGCCTGGGCCTGAAACCACAGGTGGGCGGGGTTTTTTCTTCCAGGGATTAATTGCCACATGCAGGAGAATGAAAGTGGCGAAATCAAGTGGAAAAGGCATATTGAGGCTAACAAATCTTGATGTTGACTTAATAAGCCAGGGTTTTGATGAATGCATGGCTTTGGGAGACTCTTCCTCGGCTTGACAGGGCATTCAGTCTTGGAAAACATAAATAAGTTATTTGAGAAAAGCCTAAAGACAGCTGAGTCACCTGCAACCCACCACAATGTCAAATTAGCCTTGATATTTTCATACTTGTGACGTGAAGGGAAAATCAGTTAATTAGGCTCCTGGAAAGAAATTCTTGGTCATTTGCACTTTCTGTTTAGAATGTGAGGAAATCCTCCAATCAAGGAAGTCTTTGGGGTTTTTGGTGTGAGGACAGTGTGAGCAGGTAAGAAATTCAGAGTCTTCCATCACCTCAAACAGCTGTGCTGAATCAGAGACGACTCCCACCACCTTCGTGCTGTTGTCATATTTCGTTCCCCACAAGCTGACCACTTTCTTCCAGGTAATTAAAAGGTAGACCTGGCTACACCAGCCCTGATCGGGAAGGGCTGGAGTAGATCACTGGAAGGATACTATTCCATGTTCTCGGAGAAGCCAGGCATGCGCAAACCCCGGGGACTTTGAGGAGCACACACAGGAGACTTGGTGTCAGCGCTAGATGCTGCTGGGAGGATTCAGAGGAAGAGAAAGGAATTGTATAAGATAAGTTGCACTCACAGACGGCAGGAGCTAGGGGAAGGAGGTGAAGTGAACAGCAGGATAGAGAGAGAAGGCTAAAGTGAGAGGGAGTGAAAAGTAAGTCCAGGGGTCCCAGATGCCATTTGCATATCAAAATCAACGACTCAGAAACAGAACTACCTCACAAGCAAAGGCATACCCAGGCAACCCCACTGAATGCACTGAAGCGCTGTGTTCAAGACACCCTGGTGCACACAGCGTGGCAGGGAGAAGGCCCTCCTGCACTAGATCTCTGCAAGCCCCTCATTGCCTAGAGCAGGGGCTGGCCCACAACCTACTTTTGTAAATAAAGTTTTATTGGAACACAGCCACACTCATTCATTCACATGTCTATGGTTGCTTTCACCCTACAAGGGTAGAGTTGAGTTGCAACAGAGACTCTGCAGCCACCATGCCAACCTGGCCCTTTACAGAAACAGTTTGCTGACCTCTGATCATGAATACAATCTGTGGAAAACTCTAGGCTGGTCTTGTGGTAGATGATGTACATGTAATCATCGTAAGAACACCTTCTAAAATAGGTACTATATTAGCCCAAGAAAGTTGAAGTCAGAGCGGTTAGGTGTTAGCCTCTGACACACAGCCAGGAAATGACAGAGCCAGGCATGCAATCTCTGACTGGCTTCAAAGCCTTTGGTGAGAAGCATTGTGTTAGTCTTCTAACAGCAGCCTTGCCCTGGGATGCTGCCCTAATACTCAAAAATTCTACAGAGGATCATTGCACTTTGAATATTGTGAGAAACTGTGCTTTCAAATTTATGGAGACTAACATTGGGCTTTTCCAGAGGCTTTTCCAGTCCTCTAAATCCCCAGAGCCCCGGAATCTTTCTGAACTGTATGAGTCAGTCAAGTACAATTATTTTGTTATAAGAAGGCAGCCTCTATGATTGTCACAGCCCAATGTAAAGAGTGCCTCTGATGTGGTGTAGAGAACGCAGCCAGGAAAGATTGACATTCCACAAACTCTATGCCCAGCCACTCTCCTAGCTCAATTGTATCATGCTGGAGAAACAGGCAGTACTTAAGAATGAGGAACACCCTGAGAAACTGATCAGAAAAGTAAAGCAAAAGAAAAATCAATGACTTTGGAAAATATGTCTTCTCTTGTCATTGCTGGCTTACCATCCCAAGGATGGGGAAAAAAGGTGATAGAAACAACAACATGCTCTTTAGTTTTTAAAACAATGCTGGCATGAAGAGGTTGAAGAGGGTATGGGAGAGCCGAGGTGGGTGCTAGAAAACCTAGAAGAAGACATCCAGGGACCTTGGCCACCCATGTGGGCCCAAGTAGAGAAAGAGCCAGCAGTGATGGTGACTCACAGAACTCATTTTAGGAATATTGTGCAAGTAATTGCATTCTCGGACGACTTTCTTCTAAAAACTACATAGTAGGTATGTGTGAGAAACAAATATTTTTCCCTAACTAAATTTATTTCTTACATTGAACCCCTTTTCAATGCAAGGTAAAAACTACCCTATTTCATCTAATCTAAGACATCGCAAAGTATAAAATGCACCATTCTTTTGCACTCCAGTACAAAGAAAAACGTAATCAAACTAGAACACGAGTCTCCTGTCCCACTTAGGTGTGCGCTGTGAAGCACAGTAGCCATGAGCCACATGTGAATTTGGCGTAGTTGAAATGTGGCCAGTCCTGAATTGAGGTGTGAAGTGGAAAATACAGGCTGGACTTCCAAGACTTAGTATGAAAAGGTGAATGTAAAATACCTCAATAACTTTGTTATATTGAGTACATGTTGAACTGATATTTTCCATATATTTCTTCAAATAAAAACATGTTACTAAGATTAATTTTGACATTCCTTTTTATATCTTTGAACATGCTTACTAGAAGATTTAAAATTGTCTGCTCACATTGTATTTCCAGTAAACAATAGTAGCTTCGAACTTCCATATTTGTTGAAAAACCATTTTAGACTTATTTAGGCATAGATTTTTCATTACATATCACCAAGGGTTACAAAGGAAAGCACAATATGTGTGAAACTGATGATTTAAATTATTCTTAAAACATTTATACTTACGGTAGTTCTCTTCTGAATCACCTTTTGAATAAGTCATTAATTACTTCTTTTTTTTTTCTTTTTTTCTTTTTTTACTTCTTCCTTTTTTTCTTTTTCTTTTTTTTTTTTTTTCAGACACAGTTTTCACTCTTTTTGCCCAGGCTGGAGGGCAATGGTGCAATCTTGGCACAATAAACCTCTGCCTTCCGGGTACAAGCGATTCTCCTGCCTCAGCCTCCTGAGTAGCTAGGATTACAGGCTTGTGCCACCACGCCTGATTAATTTTGTATTTTTAGTAGAAACAGGGTTTCATCATGTTGGTCCGGCTGGTCTTGAACTCCTGACCTCAAGTGATCCACCTACCTCAGCCTCCCAGAGTGCTGGGAATACAGGCACGAGACACCATGCCCAGCCAATTGCTATGATTTTTTTTCTATCCCAAATTGTCTTCTGCACCATCAGAAGCAATGACAATGCACTACTTTTAAAGAGCACTCCATGACTGTTTCTAGAATTTTCTTCTAAGCTACTGATACATTCTGTAATTATAACCATGAGTATGCCTGAAGATCAACAAAGCAAATTTCTGAGCTAAGAATGATAATTTATTCCTTGAATTTACAATTTTTCTTCATTTGTGACTTAATAGTTTTGTCATTTCCCGGCATCATTAGCAGACAACAGTAGGGGCCAACGGCTTAAGAGAAAAATAAGGATGGTGTACTTTACATTGAGAAAAATTTAGCAATTATCGTAGTTTTTACACCCACCTGCAAATTAGGAAATGATTTCTATATTAATAAAGCAAGTTGTTGTTGTAACAACTCCCAAGTATAAAATTTGGGTTGTGCATCCATGATAGTTCAATAGAGTGCTTGGTCAACATCCTTCCACATGGGGAATGCAGATACAGGTTTCTACACCTTGAGGCTCTTCCCCCTGCCTGAAGGCTGCAGCGCCCCCCCATTGCAGCCTCTGCATGAGCCACCAGATGGGGAGAGAGCTGCAGGACGTCTTGGACACTTTCAGGCCTAGCCTGGGATGGTATGCAGGACTTCTGCCCACTGTGCTGAAATCAATCACATGCTAGTTATGTGACCTTGTATATTACCTGATTTGGAAGATGATGTTGAATAGTAAGAGCTAATATTTATTAAGCACTTCATTCTGCCTAATGTCCTACCGTATCATACCACATGAAAGAATGTATTTAATCTCACAGACAAAATACCATTGATTTTGCATTTGACAAATGAGAAAACTGAGACATGGAGAAATAACCTAGGTTACAGAGCTGGTAAGGGGCAGAGCCAATCCGGGTAGCTGGCTCCATAGCCCTTGATCCCTTTGTTATGCTATTACTGTGTTATCGACTGTTAAAAGGAGCCTGCCACAAAGCCTTATTAGCCACCAGACATACTAAACAGCCATACTTAATGGACAGTATGAGACAAATAATTAGTATTTAAAATTTAGCCTCTATCTGCCTTCCCCAAGGAAAATAAGCCCGGAAAGTAGAAAATAACACACATGTTGAGACTGAACACCCACTATGTAGCAGATGCTGCACCAACATTACCTCATTAATTCTCACAACATCCTTGGAAGATAGATATCATCACCCCCATTTGATATACAAGGAAATAGAGGCTCTAGGAGGCTCTCTTCCTTGATCAAGGTCACTGTGGCAGGGCAGGATATCAGCCTAGGTCCTTTGGCTCAAAGTCTCTAATATGTTCACCTCCACTTCTTTGCATAAGGAACAAAGCAAATGCAGGTATAAAGATGGGGGCTTGCCTGTGTCAAAAACATGGGGACATCCACCGTGAATGGGATTTCCAAGAAGATTATCTTAGACTCTAGCTCTTTTATGTCCTAACTCAGTGAAAACATCATAGAATGACTGCAACAAGGCCTTGGGGAGTTCCATGCAGCCATGAAAACCATGTCTTCAAGCAAAAGTGTATGACGTGGGAACTAATATGATGTAATGTTAAGGGAAACAAGTATGATAGAAAACTATTTATGTC